ATCGGAAGGATACGGAACAGAGAGAGCAGTGTTAAAAGCTTACATTTTTAAGCCAGTAAGGTTGGTACTTAAATATATAAATGGAAAACTAGAGTCCTTAAGGTAACAAAGGCTACAAAGGACAGGGACAGCGCATGACCTATTATATCCAGCAATCCATATGGGGACTGAAAACTTTGCAATGATGACAATTACTGAAGATATGAATCAACTAAAATAGTTGACAGGGACAATTCTTCCATCTTTGAAAATATCTACATCAAATCTGTTTAAATAGATTTTCATCTGCATAATATAACACATTCTGACAAGACCACCACCTCCACCAATGTGGTCAGTGTTGTGCTGTAAAATGTTTAATAACTGAGGGACCCCCCCCCCCTCGAGTGCACAAATTTTGTGCACTGGGCTACTAGTTAATTATAGTACATATTACTGTTAATTCTTACTATTATGCTAGGTATAGCTTAATAGTGATAATATTTCTGAGTACAGCAATAATAGTAATAACATTTTTAAATAGCTAAATAAGAATTACACTGTATGTAAAGGTAGATTAATACTTTAGAAACAGAATGGATCATAAATATTGCCAGATATTTGAGGTCATCCAGCTCTTGAACTTGCAGATATTTTACTTATAAGCTATTATGAACCACATTAACTATATGTAATAAATATATTACTTACCTCCTGGGATTCTTTGGAAAACTTTGCTCAAAGTGTCTCCAGTTATTATGTTGTAACTTATCATGGCTAAATACATAATTAAAATAATACAGTCACCAACAATTTTCATATTGAATATTTTGAAAATAATCAGTTACTACTTCACAAGTATTGGTATAATCCTACTACTTTCAAATATCAATTTTGATTACCAACATGTACAACTTAAAAATAACTAGACAATAGATTTTTGGGAGATTATCAATTTGTATTAAAAATATTTTCACTTAAGCATTTTTAAATAATGGTGAGTCTTTTAAAATGTGACTTACTTGTCATTAAAATTCAGTTTCCAAATCATTTTTCAGGAACACATGTATTGCTCAAAGTGAGTATTAATAACAGAAAATTGTAAAGGCTCCAAAATATCTCCTCATTTAAAAAGTAAGATTTTTGAGAAATATGTTCTTAGTCTTTGGTGGAGACTTAAGAAACTAATGGTTTAAATAATAGCTTCTGTATTACTATTACAATTTGGCCATTGTTGAATGTTAACATTTTACTTAAGAAGTGCTAGGTGACATTTTCACCATTATGGTACATGGCTTCCATAAATCCTTAGGTTTTCAAATTGTATTTCAGCCTTAGAAGAAATCTATTGTTCCTCTCATTCACTTTTAATCCCAGATCATTCTATTTTTCACCAAACTAGGGAAGCACAAGCACTAACCTAATGAAAATTACTCTCATTTTTTGTCAATGAAATACTCAGAAAACCAACCAAAAGGACCAGGAAATAAGTAGAAATGGCTAAAGAAGTAAATGCTTAATTTGGAATATATTTCAATGTCTGGTACTCTTTAATGACTAAGCAATGACTATTAAAACTATTTTACTCAGAAATAGAAGTATGTTTATGCAAATAAGTAGAATATGTATCTTCACATTCATCTTACCTATAAAAGGATACAAAAACTGTAGAACAGAGAGGAAGAGATACCCTGGAAAGCCAAAGGTTTTATTGACCAAAGACTGGTAAGTGTCTGTTCCAGAGAGAGTCCCTCCTTTTATCAACAAAACAAGGGAAAAGTCTGTGGCAAAAATAACAAACAAATGTCAGATTATATTTAATACAAAGGTTTTTTCATGTTTTTGACTTAAATAAAAAGAGATTTTTTAAAAAGTTTAATTTCATGCTACAGTAAATTAGCATAGCAAGCCTTACTTTCTTTTCATTATATATTACTTTTCATGAAATGGTACTTTTTCCAGTTATGTATTTTTCAATCAAGATACCAGTATACTTAACACATCTATGCAATGAACTGGACAGAAGAAGGTGCGGAGACTAGAGTCAAGCATTAGTTTTTCATTTTACTTCCTAATTAACCAATGCAAAGACTATTACGATGTGGCTCAATCATCTATGCAATGGAATGTAGGTAATCAAATATTTCATAGGCATTCAACATCTGAAGACTGAGAATGAAAAATGCTGTGAGCATACATAAAAAATAGATTATGAGACTCAGATCATTTGTTTTATAATAAAGTACAACTAGTAACTCTATTTTATAGTTATTATGGTTGAGAGCACTCTAAGAATTTTTGAAATTTATAATTTAAAGATTTAAGTTTCAATTTTAGAGTTGAATATTATACAATTAAAAGTTAATTTTTTCCCCAATTTACTCGATGAATCTAGTGAATGCCATTTAACCTAGTGAACAACAATGCAATGTATTGGGTACATAGCTATGCACAGGGTGTGATTATTGCTCTTTTCTTTCTTTTTTTTTCTTTAAATATATTTTATTGATTTTTTACAGAGAGGAAGGGAGAGAGATAGAGAGTTAGAAACATCGATGAGAGTCCCACCAACAACACAGAGCAGGGTAACGATTAAAAAACCAGCTCTGAGACTCCGCGGAGTTCTGGAAGGTGGAGCCCTGCGAGTTCCCACAGCCTCCCAGGCTCTTGTTTACA